CTTTCTCAGGGTTTGCAAGAAGCCTAAATACCTTTCTAACATGAAAACATTAGGCTCTCATCATCATAAAAGTATTGCGATGACCTTTCACCGAGCTGGCTTCTCGTCTGCCGGCCAGACGAGAACTCCGCCTGACCCTCGGATCAAGACGAGCTTGCTGGGTCAAGTCACTATCTTTCGGTTGTAATATATTTTTTTATCTTTTGGCTTTTTAAGTTTTTGCTGCTGTGTTTTTCAGTGTTTTTTCGAGTGATGGTCACTTGTTGGCCTGATAGGTGTCTTGTGTCCAATTTGGTGTCAATTCATCCAGTGGTTCTTGAGTTATGTTAATTCCACAAATGAACATTACATTTTATTTATATAGATTATAAACTTCCTCCTTGATTGAATTGCTGGCATTTTCTCATGGGTGTCTTAAGTTCCTCCCCACTTAAGTGGTACCTATTTATTTACTCACATTGCTGTTTTCGAAACTGCCGGGTAGGCTGAAGCTGGGCTAAAGGCCAGGAGCTCATCCTGACCCAGGCTTCGAACTGTCAACTTTTTGGTTGACAAGATTTGCTGCAGCCGTTGGTTAACCTACTGTGCTAAATCCCAGTGGTGATCGGCACATTGGGTGCAGCGCCTAAAGACCTTGGCCTACACTTAAATACAATCAGTGCTGACAAAATTACCGTCTGCCAGCTGCAAAAGGCCACTTTACTGGGATCTGCACGCATTATTCGCCGATACATCACACAGTCCTAGACACTTGAGAAGTGTCCGATGTGTGATCCAATACAACAGCCAGCAGAGTGTCTGCTGTGGCCTCATCTTGTTGTGTTTCTAATAATAATAAGTCATTTGACTCACTTCCCCATTGTTGGATCATCAAATGTCTAGATGTCATCGGGGTTTGTGAAAATATTAGAAGACGCCAGTCAAGGTGGTCCCAGTGGTGATTGGCTCACTGGGTGCAGTGCCTAAAGACCTTGGCCTGCACTTAAACTCATCTTGTTGTGTTTCAAATAATAACAACAACAATAACAACACAACTATGCTCTGATTGCTGGCGAAATGGATGCCCTTCCTCCCTAATAACATGATTGTCAGGTTTTACAATGTATTGTAATGTAATATAGCTGAGTCATGCACTGCTAATGGGCTTCTATTGGAAATGCTGAGTCATGCATTAACTGTATATAGAACTTCATTTGGGGAATGTGTTCTGGCCTAGTCCAGGTGATTGTGAATGATGCAATCCTGGGTTTGAGTTAAGTCAATGAGTTGGGGACCAATCAGTGATTGCTATGTGTAAATGAATTGTATATAAGGAAGTCGTGTACAGTGTATTCTCTCTCCTTGTGCTGTGATGCTGTTCATCAAAGGCTCTATGTAATTGATTAAAAGAACCTGTCTGCTAAGACAAGATATAACCGTGTGCTGTGGTAAGTTTGTAGTGTCATCTAGATTGGAGGGGAAAACAATAGTAAAAGTGGCAATGGCCGGGCATGTGCTCAAGTTTCTGTAAAAGAGTTCCAGAGTGACTGCAGTTTGTGGGAGCAGTTGACTGAAAATACTGTGCAGGAAGAAGCTACTGGAAAGCGCTGAAGTTGTGCAACTGATCTGCTGCTGAATTGTGAAATTAATCTCAACAATGATAAATCCCACAAACTCCACAAAGCCGTACCCGCTTGCATCTCCGGAAGCTGGCACTCCTTGCCACTGGGGTCCAAGGTCAAGGGAGGGTGGCATTCGCAAGTGAAGGACCCCACGGTGTTGGTGCAGCGCCCCAGTTTGCAGATCCTGGGATCCTGGCACTCGTCCACGTCTGCGGGGGTCAAGAGTGGGACAGAAACCCGAAATGTAACCCCCTTGATGACTTGGGAGAGAAAGAGATTCCACTATGGGGGAGAAAAACTCACCAATTTCACTAGTTGCCACACACTTTTTGCGAACTGGATCATAGATGGTGGAGGCAGGGCAGTTGCATCGGAAGCTACCCCGGGTATTATCACATGTTCCATTCATGCAGTTCGACAGGTCCAGGCACTCGTCAACATCTGGGAAGAAAGAAGTTGCAGTGGAGTTTGGATGCAGTGGGTCCCCGAACCCCCAAGAGCCCAAGACCCTAACCGTTGGCATGCAAAAAATCCCTCTGCCCTACCAACACACTCCAAGAGGTTTTGATCGTAGTAGAACCCTTGCTTGCAGTAACATTCGTAGCCAGGCTGGGTGTTGACGCATTTCCCTTCCTTGCAGATCTCGGGCCCAAACAGGGCGCATTCGTCGATGTCTGTAAACAAAAACAAACAAACAAACACAATAGAAGTGGTTAGGTAAAGGTTTTCCCCGACATTAGGTCCAGTCGAGTCCGACTCATGGGGTATTCAATGACTTTTTACAACGAAATACAATGAGACACAAATACACAGACAAAGGCAAAGGCTTCTCCTTTCATTTCCGGCTCTGGAGGTGGTGCTCATCTCCATTTCTGAGCCGAAGAGCCGGCGTTGTCCGTAGACACCTCCAAGGTCATGTGGCCGGCATGACTCAATGGACCGCTGTTACCTTCACGCCAGAGCAGTATTCAATGCCTTTTTCCAATGAGACACAAATACACAGACAAAGGCAAAGGCTTCTCCTTTCATTTCCGGCTCTGGAGGCGGTGCTCATCTCCATTTCTGAGCCGAAGAGCCGATGTTGTCCGTAGACACCTCTAAGGTCATGTGGCCGACATGACTCAATGGACCGCCGTTACCTTCACGCCAGAGCAGTATTCAATGCCTTTTAACAATGAGACACAAATATACAGACAAAGGCAAAGGCTTCTCCTTTCATTTCCGGCTCTGGAGGCGGTGCTCATCTCCATTTCTAAGCCGAAGAGCTGGCGTTGTCCATAGACACCTCCAAGATCATGTGACCAGCATGACTGCTTGGAGTGCTACTTGGAGCAGTACTTATTGATCTATTCATATTCACATGTTTTCAAACTGCTAGGTTGGCAGAAGCTGGGGATAACAGTGGGAGCTCACCCTGCTCCCCGGATTCGAACCTGTGACCTTCCAGTTGGAGCGCTGTTACCTTCCCGCCAGAGCGGTATCTATTGATCTACTCATATTTACCTGTTTTCAAACTGCTAGGTTGGCAGAAGCTGGGGCTAACAGCGGGAACTCACCCCGCTCCCCGGATTCGAACCTGCGGACCTTTCAGTCAGCAAATTCAGCAGCTCAGCGGTTAACCAACTGTGCCACCGGGGGCTCCATAGAAGCTGACGATAGGAGCTCACCCTGACCTGCTGCATGCGCAAAACCACATATATACACAAACACACATATATACACACACATATATGCATATATACACACACAAAACACATATACACAGAAAGGGGGAAGGAGAAAAGGAAGGAAAGGAAGGTAGAGAAGGAAGGAGAGAAGGAAATAAAAAGTGAAAGAAGGAAGGAATGAGAGACGGAAGGAAGGAGAGAAGGAACGAAAGGAGGGAGGGAAGGAAGGAAGGTCTAAGGAACTCACCGCGGTGGGCCGGGATGCCGTAATTGAGGATAGCGTCGTCCAAAATGAATCCTTTGCCGTCCGGACAGAGTGTGGTGAATTCAACTATTAAAGAGGAGAGGCAGAGAGAAAGAAGTGGTAAGGAAGCAATTGAAAACTTCTATATCTATATCTAAAATATCTCTTATAGGAGGGGTTTAACCACATTAGAGAAGATACACTTCCAAATGGCCCAATTATATACTTTTGTTGGAAAGTTGACCATGCAATTGCCTGGAGGATACTGCAATGCTTAGAGAAGACATACTAGGTCTTCCAGATGGTCCTATGGTATGCTTTTGCTGGAAAATAGACCAGGCAAATGCCTTGGATGACATTGCAATGCTTAGAGAAGACACAGTAGGTCTTCCAGATGCCTCTGTGGTATGCTTTTGTTGGAAAGTTGAACCATACAATTGCTTTGGAGGACATTACAATGCTTAGAGAAGACACACTAGGTCTTCCAGATACCTCTATCGTAGGCTTTTGCCGGAAAGTAGACCACACAATTGTCTTGGAGGACATTGCAATGCTTAGAGAAGACACACTAGGTCTTCCAGATGGTCCTATGGTATGCTTTTGCCAGAAAGTTGACCATACAGTTGTCTTGGAGGACACTGCAATGCTTAGAGAAGTCACAGTAGGTTTTCCAGATGGTCCTATGGTATGTTTTTGCCAGAAGGTTGACCATACAATTGTCTTGAAGGACATTGATACCATGGAGAAGACACACTAGGTTTTCCAGGTGGTTGATTGGTATACTTTCCTTGGAAAGTTGACCATACAATGGCCTTGGAGGACATTGGAATGTTTAGAGAAGACACACTAGGTCTTCCAGATGGTCCTATGGTATGCTTTTGTCAGAAAGTTGACCATGCAATGGCCTTGGAGGACATTACAATGGTTAGAGAAGACACACCAGGTCTTCCAGATGGCCCAATTATATACTTTTGCTGGAAAGTTGGCCATGCAATTGCCTTGGAGGACATTGCAATGCTTAGAGAAGACACACTAGGTTTTCCAGATGGTCCTATGGTATGCTTTTGTTGGAAAGTTGACCATACAATTGCTTTGGAGGACATTGCAATGCTTAGAGAAGACACACTAGGTCTTCCAGATGGTCCTTTTCTATGTTTTTGCTGGAAAGTTGACCAAAGAATTGCCTTTGAGGACATTGCAATGCTTAGAGAAGATACACTATGTCTTCCAGATGGTCCGATGGTATGCTTTTGCTGGAAAGTTCACCCTGCAATTGCCTCGAAAGAAATTGCAATGCTTAGAGAAGACACTCGAGGTCTTCCAGATGGTCCTTTTATATGCTTTTGCTGGAAAGTTGACCATACAATTGCCTTGGAGGACATTACAATGCTTAGAGAAGACACACTAGGTCAGTGCTTCTCAACCTTGTGTCCCCAGATGTTTTTGGCCTACAACTCCCACAAATCCCAGCCAGTTTACCAGCTGTTAGGATTTCTGGGAATTGTAGGCCAAAAACATCTGGGACCCCAGGTTGAGAACCACTGCACTAGGTCTTCCAGATAATCCTATGGTATGCTTTTGCCAGAAAGTTGACCATACTATTGCCTTGGAGGACATTGCAATGCTTACAGAAGATACACTGTCTTCCTGATGGTCCTATGGTATGCTTTTGCCAGAAAGTTGACAATGCAATTGTCTTGAAGGACATTGTTACTGTGGAGAAGACACACTAGGTCTTCCAGATGGTTGATTGGTATACTTTCCTTGGAAAGTTGACCATGCAATGGCCTTGGAGGACATTACAATGTTTAGAGAAGACACACTAGATCTTCCTGATGGTCCTATGGTATGTTTTTGCCAGAAAGTTGACCATGTAAATGCCCTTGGAGGACATTGCAATGCTTAGAGAAGACACACTAGGTCATCCAGATGGTTGATTGGTATACTTTGATTGGAGAGTTGACCATACAATTGCCTTGGAGGACACTGCAATGCTTAGAGAAGACACACTAGGTCTTCAGGATGGTCCTATGGTATGCTTTTGCTGGAAAGTTGACCATGCAATTGTCTTGAAGGACATTGATATCTCGGAGAAGACACACTAGGTCTTCCAGATAGTCCTATGTTATGGTTTTGCCAGAAAGTTGACCATGCAATGGCCTTGGAGGAAACTGTAATGCTTAGAGAAGATACACTAGGTCTTCTAGATGGCCCAATTATATGTTTTTGCTGGAAAGTTGACCATACAATTGTCTTGAAGGACATTGCAATGCTTAGAGAAGACACACTAGGTCTTCCAGATGGTCAATTGTTATGCTTTTGCTGGACAGTTGACCCATACAAAGATATAGGCCAAGGCAAGTGTCCCCCACCTCCTTTCTCTTACTTACTTGAGTTGAGTACTGGGCAAGGGTAGATCTCGCAGTGGTCCCCCCATCCGGCCCCAAGGGAGCAGCAGCATTCCTGGCGCGTGATGTTGGTGGCCAGGACGCTGTCGCAGAAGACGGTGTCGTCAAAGTTCAGGTAGCACTCCTTTTTGTTATGGGGCAGCTCTGGAAAGGAGGGTCGGAGAGGAAGAAGAAGTCACTTTGCACTCCAAAGAAGGACTCCCTCTTAGGCTCACAAAAATAAGAATTAACGTTTCAGCGATAGTGAGAGGGATCCAATTTGGTAATAGCTGACGTCTCTATATTTTGTGCTGACCGTTAATATTTACTAGCATTTGTACCCGGCGATGCCCAGGTTAGGTAATTTGGTAAGGATAAGTCATTGTTTGTTTTTCGATGCTATGAATGGACCCATTCGAAAATGCATAAGGATATGGGGGGGGGGGGCTATACGTCCCACCATCCTATATCATTTCCCCCCCAAATCCAATGAGTATTTAAATTAGTCATGGGGGGATCTAGGGGATGCTGGGAGCTATAGTCTGGAAGAGAATGCTAACGCTTCCCGCCAAAATTGAACGGTAGAGGAGTGTCTACTGAACAAGCCAGTACATGCTACATATGTTGCTTAAGTTGCATTGACCAACCATTTGC